TAGGGAACCGATATAATAAGTTACTTCTACCGTATTTTGAATCAATATCATGAAAAATGCACGAGAAGCTCACGTAACAGCTTAACGTAGTCTACGACAACCATGCGGTCGTGTCTTGTACACAAACCCACTTTTTTTTTTAAATAAAGAATGCTTTCGTTAAATTCAATTGAATTGTCATTTAACCCGTCTTAAATTAGAGATTTTAGTGCTATTAATTTCACTATAAAAATTCAACATATCCGCTCCTCAGAGCCACACTCTGTGTGTTCACTGAAGGTGCACTTGAGAGCACTCTCAGATGGCTCTACGGTGCGAACATTTTGCATTTTGATAGGCAGATAAGTGAACATGAGCATGGTCATGATTGACCGTCCGTAGATGCAAATCCGTTATTGCCAGGTCAGCTGTAATTACACAGAGAACGAATAGACGTTGCTTGGGACTAGAATTCATCCTCAATGTGTAAATACTGGTGATCTAAAATTAGGCAATATCAGCGTCGGCCACGTCTGATTGCTGGTCAATAAAGCAATGGGTAGGAATATGTTGATGTAATACTCGCTTTAATTAAACCGAGAATACCTCTGCACTTCCACGATTAATCACTGGGATGTTGGATAAAAGGGTTGGGATTGCAGCCGGATTCGTTTTGGTAAATGATATGTTGAATTGATGTCCTAACGGTTCAATAGCACGAAGAAGCTTAGGTTTGAACCCACGGTCTTCTGCTCAGTAAGCAAAATCGGTCGCCACTAGGCTACCGAGCTCCTGATATCACAAAACAATTACGATCGAGTTTCCTTTGAATTTGTTGTTATTATGTTTTGATCCCGGTGACGACTTCACCGACGATGACAAGAATTGCTCTTGAGCTCTTGAGAAGAATTTGATATGGATTTCCAATCGACACGTCTTTCCTCAATCTCAAATATTACTTCTTTTACGTACCCGTCCTTTTAGCCGAAATTCATAACGGTCAATAGTTTAAGGGGCTTGGGTTCTAACCTACGATCTTCTGCTCAGTAGGAAAAAACGGTCGCTCTAAAGCCACCGTGCTCCTTACATCACAATAAGCTACGACCGACAATCGATCATTATTGGTTACAAGAAGCTATTACAATGAAATGAAATCCCCGAAATAGACACATTTGTTTGTATATACGTATTACTTTTCTGAATCGTTCCACCGATTTCTATTATCAACCATTTTCTACAACAGAGGCCTGCATAGATCAGCTCAGTAAAGACTGGAACGCGCAAAAATTGGTCGACAACAAAATCGTTTCTGTCAGTCAAAATTCATCAGTGTTCACTCGGCTGTCGACAAAAGCAGGCCACTCTCGATGTGTGCTACGCGATCGTCTGTTTTCTCGGCAGCAACCATTGTGTGGTCCTCCTCATTGTTCTTCATCAGCAGTTCTTTCGGTCGATGCGTCGTCGACTTTGGAAAGCAACCGTTTTGTGATGAGTGTGTGAGTGCTGACCACGTTTTGCGTCCACTGCTGCAATGGACGCGCTCTGACCCTCGTTGGCGTACAACAATTTGCCATACAATGAAACTACTGGAAGCGGCTCCAGTTCTGATGGAGGATGCTTTTTGGATAGCGGAAGATAAAGTGTTTATTGTGTTGTACCTTTTGACTATAGTTTTAATATGTATTGTATAGTGACCAAGAATCCTCGGCTCTGTAAAGTTAATTCGGTTGAGCCTTATCAAATAAATTAACAAACAAAGTCAAAATTCATATCAGAAAAATCTTCTTATTTTTCTTTTGGTATATATATATTTAAAGGAAATGTTCGTTTATTCTTTTGGTTTGCCAAATCTGAACTGCCGTGCTTTCCACTCAATCCCTTCCATTAAATTTTGCACAGTGGTCTCATCTGATGCTCCTTTTCCTTGGATTTACCGTTACCGTTCGATAGGGCGGAGCTCTGGGCTGTTGGGAGGGTTGTGGTATTTCGTTACCACAACCACGTTGTTCGCATCGTACCACCCGATTGCATTTTTCTCATAGTGGCAGCTCGCCAAGTCCGGCCAGAATAGCACAGGTCTATTATGTTGCTTTAGGAATGGTAGCAGCCGCTTTTCCAGGCACTCCTGGACGTAGATCTCTTGATTGGTGGTTCCCGTAGTAATGACAATGCCGCTTTTTAGACCACACGTGCATATGGCCTGCCAGACGAGATATTTTTTCGGGAACTTCGATAGTTTGATGATTTTGAAAATTTCAGCCACTTTCCCTTTTTCTGATTTAGTATAAAACTCCTGTGCTGGAAGCTGCTTGAAATCCGCCTTCACGGTAGTTTCGTCCATGACGACACAGTCGAACTTTGTGAGCAGATTCGTATACAGCTTTCGGGACTGCTGCTTTGCCGCTAAACGTCGACAACCCGGCTCGTTTCTTGGCCCGCTGCACAGTAGTATGGGAGACATTGAGCTTGCCAGCGACGTCCCGGATGGAGAGGTTAGGATTCCAGTTATGTTTCACCTCAACCTTATTCGTCGTCGCTGCCACGTCCGGATAACGATCGCTGCCGCCTTCAGGCTTCCTGACGGTCGACAGACACTCCCCGAGCACTTTTAAAATGTTTGTCACGGTCGATTTGGCCACATCCAGCAATTTTGCCAACTTGGCGTGTGAGAACGTCGGATTCTCTTGCTGCGCGAGCAAAATGTTGACACGCCGCTCCTCTTGCTTGGACATAATTTTGAAAACTAGAGAGCAAATGGTGGAAACTCAGCATAGCAACCATTGTATTTACACTCAACTTCCAAATGCAGCATTTCAGTTTTTTATGCATTTTTAACAGAAATGCACCAATTTGAAGTAGACCAATTTTTGCGCGCTCCAGACTTTAATGTTACGAGGCTTGGGTTTTAAGCAGTGGCGTCCCGTAAACTCATTTTTTACATGTGCACCAACTTACAAAACCAGATTTAATGCCATATTCATACTCGAATCGGTTGAAAAATACTCCTAATCTTCTAGTTTACTCGATATATATCGATTGCAAGCAATATTTTGATAATTGTTTATGTTTTGAGAGTTTGTGCACAGTTAGATTGAGGTTAAGGAAACGCCACTGCTTTTAACCCATGATCTTTTACTCAATAAGCAAAAACTTTTGCTCTATAGCTACCGTGCCCCATAAATTACCACAACCTACAACCGGTTTAACAAAAAGTTATTCAAATCAAGTGACGTCACCAAGCAACCTACAATGTCTTCAAAACTGGATAACGGATACACCCTTTCCGAAGTGCATGGTTTAAACAATTCAAATGTTGGTTATTAACTGCGCTTTATGCTCTCGAAACCCAACGATTGTGGATTATTCTGTTGTGGGAGAGCTTGGGATTAAACCCATGATATTCTGCTCACTGAGCAAAAACGATCCATCTCAAAATCACAACACTCCACGACAAAATATGATTAAGTTTTCGCTTGGTATGTAGTGAAAAACAGAAATACGCGATAATTCATATAGTTTCAGCGGTTGATGGTTAATTTTATATATACTGGTACTGCCTATCGCGACTACGACGACGACAACAGCGAATTTGGAACTTCCCATTTGTCTAGGATATAACACATTTGCCCGACACCTCCTGGATCCTCATGTCCGCTACCTACCACTGTTTACAAAAATATCTAATAGCAATTACCTTTGTCGTAATACTTCCTTCAACGAAAACAAACTTTCTTGCATTGTCATGGTTATCTGGGAGGAGATTCGCGTCTAGTGCTTTCTTCAGAAACCGTTCGCGGCCACCAGTGCACTCTTGGGTGTTTTCAGCGAGGCATACTTCAGATTGCTCGCAATTTCCTACACCAGCGAGAAACCAGTAGTCGAGCACTTTTGCCAGCGGAAAACTTGTTGATTCATGGCAACGTCAGCCACCGAATCGCCATCAAAACTCAGATTGTAGTGACACAATAATATGATATGAGTTACTTTTCCTCCATATCTTCATCCCCGTTTGACTGGAACTTTCATCGCCAATCTCGGTCAATCACTCCGATCACCCATAAGGTCAAGTTCAAACACTTTGCATTTTGATAGTAGCAATAAACTGTCTATACTACGATGCGTTTGCTGAAAATTCTACTGAATTTAAAGTTAGCATTCTATAATTTAAAAAAAATATTGAAAAAGTTCCAAAACAGCGATCCATCATCCGTCTTGTAAAAATGTTGTTTGCTATGAAACAAGTAGTTTTAATAATAATGAAAATTAATTAACTGAAATTAAAAAAAATGGAACGCGGCGATAATTTCACTCCACAACAGCAAATTGAACAGTGGTAATACTCTAAGGAAAATTAGCGTGAAACTTCAAAAGCACAAATTTCAGCTTCAACAAAATATACACATGTGAAATTGCTTCTCCTTGTTTGCTGCGCTACTTCAAACAGAGAGTACCAATTTCAGAATTGTATGTTTTGTTGAAGCCTAAATTTGTGCTATTGAAGTTGCACGTAAAGGCTTCCATAGAGTATCACCTTAAGTGTCAATTTGATTTTTATTGACTTTACCAGAACTTTTATTTCTAGCATAAATCCAGCAAAGGTAAGTGTTTGTGAAGATTGGGTAAAATGAAGCAAAAAAGTTCATCATTTCAAGAGTAACACGCGAAAGTAATATCAATAAACTTTTACGATGTTTCAATTACTTCAACTCTCTCGCTCACTTCCTCGAAAGATGCGACTTTTCCTGAAAATCATCAGAACCGAAAGCTAAAAAAAACGCATTAGTTCGAATACTGTCTGTTGGTGTAATCGTAAAACCATGCACAATCACACTCACCGACCCAGCGGCACTGACAACGACGGCGATGTATTTTCGTATGTGCATCCGACAAACATTTCCGCCCACCCTAGAAAGCGAACGGGCGGAAATTTGATTAAATCGGTGCAAATAAAATAACACCGACCTGGCACACAATTAAAACTGAATGTTTTTTTTCTTTGGTCTTTCTTTTTTCTTCATCAGAAGCAGCAGAGTGGTGTAGGCAAGCGAGCAAGCTGCCTCGGAAGGACTCACCCTCATTCCCCGGTCGTTGATCCTTCCCATCTGCTTCGAGTTGAGTTTACGGTCGAAGGCACCGGGCGATTTTAATTAAGACGCTCCGAGGAACTTCTTGAACGGGGGCCACAAAGTCACCGAAGAAGGAAAAAGTCGCGAGTCCTAGCGCGTAGTTTTCCCACTCGTACCTGCCTCACATAGGAGAGCGTCCGCCACCTAAACCAGCCGACCCTCTCTCTCTCTCTCTCTCTCTCTCTTGGATCTCTCATCCCTGGCGAACCGGAGCGACGAAGGACGTGGCTCTTCTAAGGAAATAACCCGTGTTCACCTTTCCGGGTTCTTTTAGGTTAGAGGTAACGGTATTAAACAGTTTATTGTTGCACTGCACAGCACACATCCATCCAGAGATTTACACAGTCAACTGCAGAAGAGCGCAGTACCCTAGCCCCTGAACCGACGACACAACAATGGGAAAGCAGAACAGCAAACTGAAGCCCGAGGTGCTGGAGGATTTGAAGCAGAACACAGAATTTTCAGGTGAGTCTTTCCGGCATGAATGGAACCTAATCAGCTGGTGGAAGAATGGCATTACGGTATTATGGTACAATGTACGTGGTACGGTGCGATATTTGAATGGGATGAACTACCAAGCGTCTCCATCTTTTGCAAGCATCACATGTGACGCTCGATGCCCCATAGCTATTTCCCCTTACATTTCCAACTGCGTCTATCAACTTCTTTCTAGAATCACAAAAAAAAAATCGTAAAGAATCGGATAATCCTACGCCGTTTCTTGGGCTGAAAGTAAAAATAAAAAGCCCTTTTCGGCCCGGAATGGTTGAGGTGATGCCGTAGAGTGGCCATTCTTCGCTGTTTTCTGCTTTTCATAACAATTCCGCTGGGAATCAAAATTCGTTGAATTGTTTGGCATTGAAAAACAAGCTTTTAGTCCATTTATCGGACCGATGTGAGTATCCTTCGAAGCTGGTGTGTTTTTGATTTTGGCTCTCGTTGGCCCGAGAAGACGACCAACACCCGCCTGAAGCCGAAAAAATGAATCATGTTTGTTAGAGCTTTTTCACGTGTTTTTTTGCCAAGGATTTTTCCCAGTTGGGTTTGTAGTTTATTTTTGTAACTTATTTATTTCATCTTAGAAGCGAGTGGGAAATAATCCATATGGTGTTACGCTTTCTTGATGTTTATTTATTTAGAACACTACTGATATAAAGGGGCTCCCTCAGCTCAGTTGGGCGCAGCCAGTGATTGATTGATCTTTTGGGGCTTTTTATAATAGAATGCTAGCGTAAAATCCAGTTGAATTTTCGGTTAACCAAGGTTGCAAAGACTCATTTCAGCTAAAATAATGTTTTTCGGAATAATAAAACCAAAAGATGGTATGATGGCATGTTTTACTTGTAACTTACAAGAAGAGGTTACAAAGTATGCGTTTGAAACATAAAACCTGTAAAGTTTGCTTTCTATGAGTCACAATCAGCGATTTTCAGATCGCTGAGTGAATGTGTGAAAAATCGCTGATTGTGACTCTCATGAAGTGAAATAAACAGGTTTAATATGTCAAACACATTCTTTGCAACCTCTTCTTGTATCCTACCAATTCAAAATTTGATCATGGCATCTAATTATTTCATAATTTAGAAAAACATTGTTTTAGCTGAAATGAGTCTTTGCAACCTTGCGGTTAACCCATCGAAAAATAGATAGTTGTTATATGCTATTAATCTCTCTATAAAAATGCAAATTTTCGCACCGTAGAGCCACACTTTGTGTTTTCACTGAAGGTGCAGTCGACAGCGTTTTCAAGTGCACCTTCAGTGAAAACACAGAATGTGGCTCTGCTGTGCGGAAATTATGATTTTTGATAGGGAAGTTAACACCACTGAACAATCTTTTTTAAGATCATTTAACAGAAAATTCAATTGGATTTAACGTAAGAATTCTATATTCAAAAGTAATAAAAAACTTGGTGGGGTTGTGTACAAAACACGACCGCATGGTTGACGTAGACTACGTTAAGCTGTGTAGTGAAATTCTGGTGCATCTCCTACAAAACAGTAAATTACTAACTACATACTTAGAAAATGGGCCTGAATTGAATTAATAAGATCTGGATACATATTTCAACACTTTTCTCACAAAATATTGCCAATTCATTAATGCATTGGTAATATTTGCATTAAAAAGTACGATCAGTCGATTTTGTTCTACTCAGGGCATGGCATTTGAATAACTGCTTTCACTAGCTTTCACTTCTCCGAACCACACTAAAAACAATTACGACACGTGCTTCTACAAGCACTTTCAAGTTAATTCACCTTTGAAGACGATATTTACTTAAATAATATCATTTGCATCGTTAAAAACGCGAACCGCGAATAATTTTGCAAGCTGAAACTGTTTTGTTTACCTTTTTTCTACACACCGTATTACGAAGGTGTGTGTACGAATCATCTACCATCGTATCCAGTGTTGTCAATTTAATTGAAACAAAGTGTGTAAAAACAATGCTTTTATTGCTTTTGAAGGTGCTTAAACTGCGTTCAATTTAGAAACCATCACTAATAAATGTTTAAAATAATTTCTTATTTTGTTACTCAAGACAAAAAATTAAAGTAAATGAACCTAGAAATCTTCTATAGAAAACATATGTGTCGTTTTGGTTGCACTGCTCAAAGCCATCAGCTGATATGCAAAAGGCGGCAATAAGGCACATAAGAAAAAATATCCAGCGGCCAGTTCATTTTACCAACTTTTGACTTTGAGTATAATCACATTGAGTATAATCATATTCACCTACTTTTGGGTACAACTAACTTATTTTTGGGTAGAACCGAATTGTCAACTCCATACTAATTGAACACAAGTAAATGAAAACTCTTCGACCCACATTACCTACTTTTGGCTTCCTGCAATATAGTGCCGAGATTTGTGAAAATGAGTCACTTTGGGATCTTTTTTCATACCCGTGTTTTGGGCTCTATAATCATTTTTGGACAGGTCGTATGTAACCAAAGTGTACAAAGTGTGATGTTGAATCAATTAACTACTATGATGCCTTGACTTGGTTGGTATTGGTGGCTAGGCGCATAATTATTTTCTGTGTAGAAAGGAGGTGGTAGGTCGATAATATTGGCAAATTGAATAGAAATTGCAGTGATAATTTCAAAATTGGATGATAAAGAGATAATCTTTAAAAATGACGAAGGTTGAAATTTACAGTAAGAGAGACACAACTTGTTTCCTTAAGTGTGAAAAGCATGGATGCTAACCATTTACGCCAGGCCCGTTCAGTTAAACATCATGAATGAAAAATCAGTAATCACATTGATTTCATTGAAAGCAGGATTAGTTTTCCGTTTGATTCAATAGTGTAAAATGTTGCTCACATTTTTGCTGTGTTAACCGTTAAGTCAACCAAAATGCGATCAAATGGAGTATTCAAAAAAAGTTACATCATAACAGCAAATTCTGATTTCAATTTGATCTCTAACTTTGCTCGGGTAACCCTTGATTTCGGTCCTATGTACTACATATTTTGAGATTACTCTTTTGTTAATAACTCACTTAGATTAACACATCTCGGTGCGTTTGCTATTGCCTATGATAGCCAATACAACCTGTTACAGGTTACAGAACTACATTGAACAAATTTCAGATACTATTCAAGCTGAACATTGCATTAGGTTCTAAGTATAATATTGATCCATTCTCTTCGTCGATTTTCTCTTTCGTTAATAATTTGAGCACATAACCGTTTCTTGTTGTGTTTGTCGTATTAGATGCTAGATAAAAGCTTTCTGTTGATTTGTGTGCAGAAAATACCTAGGAATGTCTTTACATGGCCAAGGAGAAAGTTCACGAAGATAATCTTGTCAATGTTACTTAGGACCTAATGCAATGTTAAGCTTGAATTGTTTCGCTTAGCTGAAGCAATGTACACGCTATTTCAAAACTACCGAAATTTGGGTAGAATCCACCTAGATCGGTCAAAACTGAACCTGGCCCAAAAAATGGGTAAACTGTGTTGGGAGTGGCAAGTTGACAAATGAACAACCTTGATCGGATTCATGTCAATGTTGTTCAATTGTCAAGTTGTCAGTCCCAACACATAGCATGTAAAGAGAAAATCGATGAAGAGAATCAATCATTGCAAGTAGGCCCTTTTGTCGAATTTCAATACCTATCACTGAAAAAACTCCTCTATTTATGCTAAAAGATAAGCATTAAGTCCCTCCTACTTTGAGAATTATGTAATGGAACGGTTTGCTATGCCTCGCCCCCATCAGCAAAAAATCTGGGATTTTATAAACTGTTCTATAGCATAATTTTCCAAGTAGGATGGACTTTCATAGCTAATCTAAAAGAATACATAGAGGTATCGTTTGCTAATTTCAGTGCTTGGTACAGAAATGTGTAATCTGTGTAGGGGAATACTTTTTTCCCACCACAGAAGCACCCCGTTTTTTAATGCAAAATAATGGATGTGCGTTCACAAATCGCACAAAATCTTTTTAATTCAATCAATAGATAAAAGATGACATTGATAGTTTTTTGAAGTATATTCTAAATATTTTTTACAGCAATTATTTTTTTTTATTTTTTTTTAAACAAGTACTGATGATTCTTGAGTCAATTCGTTAGTAATATGCTTGAAGGAAATTAAATCATTTGCACTAGGGGAAATGGCTCTAATATTGGCCTATGGATCTAAGATTGGGCCCATTGCTAAAAATCTGCTATTTATCAATTGTATCTAGATGAACGCGTCATTGGGACGGTACTAATGGATATTTTTGGTCACTATTGAAAATATAGTCGATTGTTGAATTTATGTATGGGCCCAAATTAGGGACATTTAGGCTGACATTACATACATTTCCCCTATTTGTTTTGTCTTGTGACCGAACATCAGTATTTCGATTTGGGGTTACTTTGATAATCCTCGTTGAATGTAGAAGAAAATGCGTGAATCTCAAATAATTTAGTTCTTGAAATATGCAACTTTGGATTTGTATATAATCAGAAAGCATCATCAGTAATAAAAATACATCGTTTAATTTCTGATGGCTATATTAGAAATACATTTCATAAGTGATGATTTGAGTGCTTTTTCAAACAGTCGATAAACAAGAAATTTATTTTTAATATGTTTGTAAAATATGTAGCACATACAATACAAAAACTATATACCATAACAACGGAAATGCCCTGATCTACAATACGGAACCAATGTTTCCAATTCGGGCGCAGAGAGTAAATTTAATCATTGTATTCTGCTATAAAGTTACCCGCATTATCAAAGATATCCCGTTTTACGGAATAATATGGAGGGATTTCAAACTAAAATGTTCTGATCGCGAGATATTCACGGTCAGTACCGAAATTTTGCATAACTATCCAACCCATTTTGTGTGTGTGTGCTGCTGATTTTCACTGCTGCCCAATGCTTAGGTAACTTTCATAAATAACGTAGTAGTTCAGGGGGAGAGGGGTTTCTTAAGTGGTGACCGGCCATGTATTAGGTATAGCAAAACACGCTACGAGGGGGAAGGGTTAATTGGTCAAAAAATTCTGCGTCATTTAAGGATGGTCCCTACTTTTACTTCCAAGGCTGTGTCCCAATGGGCGAGTTAAATTTAACTAGTAGTTGAAAGTGACAGATGAGTTATCGAATAACCCTGCTATTCGAGCGTGGTTATTTCTGACCGACTAGAAGTTAAATTTTGGCAACCGTGGCTGAGTTCTGTTTGAAAACTGATCAATTTTCGGGATTTTGGAACATTGAAAATAGCTTACGAAATGTCATGTTTAACCACGAGTTAAATTTAACTCGGCGATTGGGACACAGCCAAAGAAGTAATTCTCGATTACTTTTTCGAAGAGACTAATCATCTTTTATAAACAACGCATTTGATCGCCGATTTGGCGTAACTGGTAGCCCACCCACGCATGCTAACACTACCATCAGATAGGGGAAATTTTCCCCTACCTGATATAGAGGTGTCAGTATGCGTGGGCGAGCTTTCAGTTAGGCCAAACCGACGATAAAATGCGATGTGTAAAAGCTGATATGTCCTTTCAAAAAAGTAATCGAGATTTATAGAACGCGGGATCTTTATCACTCAGACAAGAAGGTTGATTCACTTCGAAGCGCTTGCACCATCAAGGCAACGGCACTGCCAGCAGCCAGTGATCTCGACGGGAACGACGCGAGGTGGAAAACTGCTGCGCGCTTGACAGGAACCGCTGCCTTCCTACTACTACTGCTGCTGCTGCTGCTACTGCTGCTGCCGCTGCTACCTGCGGGTGACGCCTTCCGAAGCGAAAATGCAACGCTCTTTTATAACTTTTCAGATTCAATCAGCACGATGTGCAACTAAATGGTACTCGATTATGACGATTATGAAAACAGTGATAAAATTATCACTTTTTACTTGTACAATTTTCAACAGCTTTTTCATAGAAAATTGGAAAAACATTTATTGTAGCAAATGTTGAGAGTTATTTCCTATCGATTGATGTATATGGATTTTAATTACATCTATAAATGACAAAGTTATAAGCGTTCAAAACCTTACACCTTTTCGTGACGGTCGCAATTTTAGATTTTTGCTTTACCCCCGTACCTTCCCGTAAGACGTAGTCTACGTCAAAATAATTTGCAGCATTTTTCCAGATATCTAGCTTAAACCTCTTATGTTGGCAAAGCCTGAGATCTTACTGATCAACTGTGTCATGGAATATTTTTTTATGGTCACTAGGCCGAACTCTATTGAGTTCAATGGGTCATTAGACTGAATTGTAAAGAGTGAGAGATGGGATTGAGAAAATGTTTAAGATATCTTTAACTTGATACTTGATACATTTCATATAATCACTCCACATTTGATGATCACTTCCAGTTGACTTACATAATGGACTCTCAAATTCATAATTATTATTAGCTGACCTATAATTGTGGGATGGCTGTTAAACGAGTCAAAACATCGTTAACATCAACGGTTTATTATTTAATATATCATCCAAGTCATTTTGTTTAATTGTACGCTCAGAAGATAATTAACCGACACAAAATCTTTGAATTCTCACATATTTTTTAACAAAATTTGATTAACCTGGATTTTTTTAAATTTGTTCCGAGAAAACCGGGAATTGCAAAATGAAAATTAACTGACCACTCTGTGAACTGTATTGGCTTTCTACCAGGATGGAGGTAATCAAATCAATTTGGGTGCACCTAATTATAAGGGTAGACACAGCTATATCCAGTTATATAATTTTTGGTTCTTAAGAGGTTTAGAATGGACTTAAGACCATAATAAAATCGAAAATGTTGCTTGGGATTCACTCTCTAAGCAAGTAAATCGAGCGTCACTTTTCAAATCGCCTTATCGGATTTTGTTAACAATCACTTCAATTTACTATTAACTGCTAGCTTACCCACGCAAACATACACAACTATTAGGTAGGGGAATATTTCTCTACCAGCTGGTGTTGTTAGTTTGTGTGAGTAAGCTAGCAGTTGCCACAAATTGTCGATTGAAGTGATTGCTTACAAAATCAGATACGTCGATTTGAAAAATAAGGCTTGAAATGTATTCTAAACCAAGTGGATGAGAATCCGGTATCGGGATGGTCAACCCTTTATTTTTGATCATTTAATGATAGGGTAAAGCTTTACTTCGTCATTATATCCCATTTCCATTCTATGGAATAGAAAACATCAATAATATTTGTGATTTCAACGTGCACAACTCAATAATACATTTGTTTTGCAACTACAGTTCAAAAGTTACAAAACTGAGCATATAAGAGCGCTAAATATCTTATTCTTCTTCTTCTTTCCTTTATTTAACGTCGGTCTCTGTTCCGCAATCTAGTGCCAATCACCGACGGACATCGATTGCCATCTATTGACGGCAATCGAATGTGCAGGAATGCACCTGCGTAGGATATCGCACCCATTCAAACATACATGGGCCGGGACCAACGGTTTTTCTTCCCTTCCGAAGAAAGACGTGACCAGAGATTTTTATGCCTCAGAAAAATCCCACCGACCTCGGCTGGGATTGAACCGAGACCCATTGGAGTGAGAAAGCAGTCAAGCTTACCACTACACCACCGGCGCCGGCAAGAGCGCTAAATATGAATATTCACACCAATTGTTCTCAAAAATATCTTCCTCCGTATGACGAAGAAAATCCGTTTGGACAATGCCTTTGGACATGTCAACAATTTGTAACCAAATAAATGTTTGGTTCATATCCGTTTTAAAAAGAACGGTAAAGCGCGGGTTGTGCACAAAAATCCTGCTGTATAGCAAATATAACATTTGTTACGGACAACGGCGCCGATGGTGTAGTGGTAAGCGTGATTACCTCTCACCCCAGGAGGCCTGGGTTCAATCCCAGTCGGCGCCGCCGGGATGTTCTGAGGCATAACATCTCTGATCACGCCTTCCTTCGGATGGGAAGTAAAGTCGTTGGTCCCCGGTTCATGAGTTGATGGGTCGATAGGTAGGGTCCAGGTGTGGGAGCTGCCTTCCTGGCACGTCGGTAGCATTGGTGCTCAGCACGGAAAACAAGATCGACGGAAAAAACAAAACAAAGGAAAAAAAAATTGTTACGGCTTGACGATTTCCACTAATTTTTTATGAGATTTGTGTAATGATAATTATGTCCGGTTTGGTATAAAACACATTGGCGCTCATTTTATTTTTTTTAGCACTTTTTCACAAAAACTTAATGATATTATAAAAAGAGAGAGAACGAACATTAATCTCGGGGACACTCTCGAGTCCCTTTGAATCTCGAAGGAGATTACGGCAAGGTGATAGAATATCGCGTCTGCTATTCACCATCGCGTTAGAAGGTGTGATCAGAAGAGCTGGGATAGACAAGAGTGACACGATCTTCAGGAAGTCTATCCAGCTTCTTGGCTTCGCCGATTTTTGTATAATGGGAAATCCGTTTCGATAGGAATAGAGAGTAGGATTAACTGAATAAGTCTGCACATTGTATACAAACTACGCATATCTGTAAAGGATGAGCAATTAAGGTGCTACAATTTAATGGACATTACCAATCCTTCCCTATACATTCTACTATAGGCGCCAACATTCAACTGAACGATATTGTTGATTGTATCTGAATCTGAACTACCCTAAAAGTGCAAAAAAGTGTGATAGTGCACGTTTCCGTCACATCGTTTTGGTGACCTCGGCGCACTTTTTGCGTCATTAGGAATAAGTGCACCGAAGTCACCAATACGATTAAATGGAAACTTGCATGTCTATCTCATTTTTGCATAAGTGCAAACTCGCTTACATGCCCAGGTTTGTGAGAAATGCGCTATATTAATTAAACTTCTTCATCAAAAGCTGAAATCCTTATTTTTGAAATGAAAGATTTGTGAGCTCGGAAAAAATATGGCAGCTCGACGGGATTGACCAGTGTCCATTCTTTATTCTGAATATCAATCATCAAATATTTTTTCATCCTTATCTACATAATAAATGACCTTAAATGTGAACTGGTTTCTTTTCCGAGAAAACACAAGACACATTCCGAAATTTCCAATAGAAGCCCTATTTACGAGTAAAGTTGCTGAAATCAACTCATCCAATCAAGGTGGGCTATAATTTATGAAAATTGTATTCCGTTTTCGATTTGTATGACGCATCCGGCCCAGCGTATCATTTTCCGCAACACCAGAAAATCCGAATGCCAGCCATAAATAAATACTGTTACCTTGAGAATAAATTCATCGCATATTCATTGTTTCATTCTATTTCTTTTTTCTCCCTTTCTCATTTCCAATTTCCACCCAATTTAGACGCAGAGATACAAGAATGGTACAAAGGTTTCCTGAAAGACTGCCCCAGCGGCCACTTATCGGTGGAGGAATTCAAGAAAATTTATGGCAACTTCTTCCCGTACGGGGATGCGAGCAAGGTAAGCCGGCGGCGTGACGATCCGGAAAATGCTTCTTTTTCTGATCACAATCTACCCCATCCACACCTCTATCTGCTTTCTCGGTTGCCATTTATCACCATCTGAATCCGCTTCATACAACAGCGTTAATTCAAAGCCTTAGATCCTTTGAGATCTCATCTCATCTCCGCCCCTGCTACTGCCGCCATCTCTCTCTCTTGACCACATGTTGCTTGGCCGGTTCGGTTGTTACTGAATATTTCACAGACCCAAATGCCAGACTAGCTAATGTTATCTTATTACCGACTGGGGTCGGCACGGCAACGGAACATCTTAAATCACGCGAAAATTGCAAAGCCATTAAACATTCAGTTGGTTGTTGTTCGTTCTGCAAAGGATAATGCGCTGGCACATACAGCCAGATCCTCCAGTCGTAGGCCAGTTGAAGATGAGGTAAGGAAATCCATGAATAGGGGCTGCGGGGGTGTTGGAGTTGTCGGGTTTCTTTTGCCCACTCGCCGAGAGAATCCGGTGGGAAAATCAGACGGTGGTGTTTTGGTTCGGTAAATGAACCAGTCAGACTGCCATTGCTGCTGGCGAAGATAAGGATTACGCTTGTTGTTTTTGTGCGGAGGGAAAATTGCGATGGACTGTGGTGGATTGTGAATTTATGGGATGGAAAATGGGAAAATAACGTGGATGCCAGCAAAAACACTGCAATGAACGCTGGAGGCTTTAATATCAGGTTATTGATGCAAAATAATTATATTGAAAAGATATAATAAAAGTGATAGTGGATTAACGTCGAGTACATAATATAAGAAAAGTGAACGGAAGAACAGAAACACCATACAATTCAGGAGAAAAGATCTAGTAACTGAAAACCTAGCGATTTATTCTCAAAATTGTTGTTTTCTTGTGATGTTCTTTTTCTTACAACAATCCGCAATTTGAATTTGAACTCAAGATTTTCGAGGTTTACAGCTTTCCCCCGAAGAACACGTTACCCACTGAGTTGCACCCACCGCTTTGTATCGGTGGGTTTTCAACCAAGCGCTCTGATTTTCTGCGAGTGACTAGTTCTCCATTGAACCTACTCACATGCAAAAAAAAGTACAAGGGTCTGTGCATAGGGGCACGAACGGAAGCTTGACGTAGGAGTGCTAGTAGACGGAACAAATATGTTGAGCCCTTAGTTCTTTTAATTGATCGATAATCTATTATCTTAACTCTTTTCGTTTTTGAATTGGTGGCCCTGAAAAGGACCGTTTGTTGTTTTTTCGAGGTGTCCATCGAAAGGGTTGTTGGAGTTGGAGGGTACGGAACGAATAGGTACGAATCGCTGTTGCCTTTTGACGCTCCTTTTATTTTTGCGCTATTTCTTGATATTGCTGTTGTATATCCTTCAGTGGATGGAGAACTAACACGAAATGCATAAACGTGCTACCAATTGACGTCTGCGGAAGGTTTAGAGCTGTATGATTTACGCAAGTTTATTCTCTCACGGAGACTCAATGACCCAAAGCTGATAGTGATTTTCCGAACACTGCTATTGGCACTAATTGATGATTCTTTGCTGTAATTTCTCTCGATGGTTCAAAAATATTTCTATTTTGTGAACCTGTTTTACCCGCCATCTAGAGATATAGTGGCCCTGAATAAGGCCATTAGGGATCCAAGAGATTTACATGCTGGTACTTTTGGGATGGCGTGCTTACACCATTGCACAGCGGTTGAAATTTTGCAGGGGATCAATATTGTAGTCAGCCTATCGGAACTGCAGCGGAACGTCCAAAAGATGGTGAAGCTCCTCAGAGAGCCTCCGATGTCCGCGTCCTTCAGGGTCCTACCAAATGTGTGGTGACCATTTCCGTCGCAAATGAAACTGCCATTTTGGATCGATGCAAACAAACTGGTGTACTTGGGTATCTCCAGCAGAGACAGCGTGCTCAGTTGGCTTTCCTGGCAGCAGCATTACGCAGATGATTATTGTAGTCAAACTCAGTTGTGTAACGTTCGAAGGATGTCGTTGCCGTTAATAATGCTTCTCATTTCGATGTCCGCGTTCACTTTCTGGTTCTTTCAAATAAGTTGTAACGACTGTCCCTACAGCTAATGGAATTACAACTGTTCACACTCACTGAATTACAATCTGTTTTACACTTACAGAATAGCAAATTAGGCCCCTCTCTTTTGGAGTATTTTTCATCACAGCGTTCCTAGTTGCAAGTATATGGCAGCATTCATATCAGACCAAGACGTGCTCCGACCAGGATTGAATTTGATTGCTGAACAACTTCCACTTGACTCTTCAACACCAGTGCAAGTCGATGCCAACCGGATGACGGTGGCCCAGTCATGCTGCCTATTGCGGGAAGCCGTTCCTCCGGTCGATGTGGGTGCATTCGTCGTCGTTTTCGTATTGATGCGATGCATGCTGTTCCACTCATACGTCGTTTGCGACGCTTATCCGTCCATTGCTCGAAAGTAAATGACAAAGAAAACGATTTGGCAAGCGTTTTTATTACCGCTGCTTTTCTCCTCCTTTCATTGGTGAAATGGTGAGCGGTCCACCGAGCGGCCATTCGATTATGTGAGCATGCACAATGTGTCGAATGTTCGATTTGCGCTCTATCGTTACGTTCGTGTTTGGGATTTTTCGTTACATGTCTAAATTTTGATTTTTTTTTTTAATGTGACCCCCAGTATAGAAATTAAAGGCGTAGTCCTACGTCAAAATCAGACCGACTGGTTGGAACCCCGCCGAGAAAAAGTGGTGGGTGCAACTCAGTGGGTAACGCTTTCTCGGGGATAGCTGTAGTACTTTCAGCAACGTGAAATTGCCAAAACCTTAATATTTTGGCTTATTAAATTGCGTGGTCTTGTGGATATCCGGAATCACGAGGAAAAACGTCAATTCTTAAAAGTTGACCTAGAGACCCGTGATTTTTTTTTCTGAATTGCATACAAGCATGAGCATAGAAGAAATATGCCATCACTACATCCTTTGTGCTATCGGGTAGCCAGAAAACGGTCCAGAATTATTGGAATCAAGTCAATCCTGAAAGTAGACCTAGAGATTCGTGTTTTTTTAGAAAATGTAAAACTCCATATTGATTCGATCCCCCGGTGGCCATAAACGCCCGTCTGGATATCCGGATTCACCGGGAAATTTGTTATTTCCTAAAAGTGGTCCCAGAGATCCACGATTTTTTTTCTAAATTGCATAAAATATTGAGTATAGAGGAAATATACCATCACCAAATCGATTCTGCAACCAAGTGGCCAGAAAACGATCTCCGGATATCCGGAAACACCTGGAAAATGGTCAATTCCTGAAAGTAGACCTAGAGATCCTCGATTTTTTTTCCAAATTGCATACAATCATCAGCATAGAGAAAATATGCCATCACCATATCGATTCTGCTGCTGGATGGCCATAAAGTGCCCTTTTGGATGTCTGGATTCACCAATTCCTAAAAATGTTCCACGACTTTTTTCTTAAATTGCATACAATCATGAGCTCAGAGGAAATATGCCACCACCATATCTATGCTGCTTCCGAGTGAACAGGAAACGGTCCTCTGGATATCAGAAATCACTGGAATCAAGGTCAATTTCTTGAGGTAGACCTAGAGATTTATGATTTTTTAGAAAATATGAAGAACCTTCAGTTGAGAAGCGATATCGCAGCTCTATATTGATTCAATCGCCCGGTGGCCATAAAACGCCGATCGGGATATCTGGATTCACTGGAAAATTGTTTATTTCCCAAACTAGTCCCAGAGATCCGCGATTTTTTCTAAATTGCATACAATCTTGAGTATAGAGGAAATATGCAAATTACAAAGAGACTTTGAATTATTTCTGCAAAAGGGCAATCAATCAAAGCAAATCAAAATCTTCCGCAAGTTGTAAGAGTTGCACTCGGTCAAACCATTTAAGAAAGTGTAATTTTCACAATTTTCAGGTGTTTCAGCGTCACAGCTTGCAAAAACCGTACTATGTTTGCATCAATTGTGAAGGAGAAAACTTCAGACGAAGAACCGTTAAGTCAGATTACTTATGCTATTTTTGTACGTAAGACTCATCATAATGTCGAGTAAAATGTAACACTTGCGGAAACACCATTTGCCATTATGGTGGTGATATATGTCTTCTATACTCAAGAGTGTATGAATTTTAGAAAAAATCGGGTATCTCTAGGACTACTTTTGAGAATAGGTAACTTTCTCGATGAATCCGGATATCCAGAAAGGTGTTTAATAACCACCGGGGGACCAAATCAATATGCCACTGCGATAATAAGGTTCTTCACATTTCCTAAAAAACGCGGATCTTTAGGTCTACTTTCAGGAATTTACCATTTTCCAAGTAAATCTGGATATCCGCAGGACCACCTTCTAGCTAGCATTAGCAGAATCTACATATATGATTATGGCATATTTTCTCTTTGCTCATGATTGTATACAATTTAGAAAAAAAATCGCGAATCTCTAGGTCTACTTTCAGGAATTGACCGTTTTCTCAGGTATTCCGGATATCCAGAGACCCCTCGGTGACAGAATTGATATGGTGAAAGGGGCTGTAGACCAATTTTAGAGGTTTTAGACCCCTCCCCTCCCCCGCGTAGACAATCATCCATACTTTTTTTGAAAATTTGTATGGGCCGTAGATATCCTTTAAACACCCCACCCCCCCCCCCCCCATATAAAGAGTCTACGTAGTTTATTAACAAAGCATTTTCCCAGTGAATCTGGATATCCAGAAAGGCATATAATGGCCACGGGGGGACCAAATCAATATGTCACTGAGGTATATATTCTCAACTAAGGTTCTTCACATTTTCTAAAGAAGCACGGATCTCCAGGTCTACTTTTAAGAATTGAATTGCATAAGTGATTCGCATCATTGAATTACATAAGTGATTCTGGATATTCAGAGGACCGTATTCTGGCCACTCGTTAGCATAATCTATATGTTGATGTCGTATTTCCTCTATACTAATGATTATACGCAAG